GCTCCCCTCAGCTGTCCTAATGTTATAAGCCTTACATATATTCTTGCTATAATACAGTCTTGTTCACTGCGGATGCTGCGGCGTGCCAATCTGAACTTGGCACGGCGCCAGCCCGTTCTTCACCAATTGTTGAAGCAAGCCAACGACAACAAGTGGTGGAAAACGGACTGGCGCTGCGCCGAACCCATCTTTCCTGCATCTGTAATGAACGAGGCGAGTCTCACTGTCATTGAACTGTAGAGTACCATATGACACCTGAAAAAGGGCTTGAAAAGGGTGGCATGTTCGCAGAGATAGCTTGGAAAGGATGACAAAGAAGGGCAGCACCCGCAAAAACTATTACACTACAATATCGTTCGATATCTTACATCATCGCTCCTCAACAAAATTGACAGGCTAAGGGCGCACAAACCCGAGGCCCGCATTCATTAAGACTTATCTGCGCTTATCGTTCGTTAAGTGGGGTGGGAAGTGACCTCGGACTTTCTACTGATGGGCCAAACAAGCCTACCATCCCTCGCGGGTGGGTGCTTTGTTGCCAGGCTAGGTCTGGAACGGTAAAACGTGGTATTGCTCATTGTCTGTCCCCTGCCAGTCATTGTATAGACCAAGTCGCCTTTACAAGCCGCTGTGATTTTGAACAGATAAGAGATTCGTGGCGCATCCCAAGAAGGGACTACTAAGCGCCGACTTTTTTATCTTCTGGTTTTCGAGGTTATTTTCTCTCAGAAGCTGTAACGTTTTGCTTCCCACCACCTTTGTTTTCTCTTCGACATCCCTATCACTGCGGAACGGCTAAATTGCTGAGCTACAACAGTATTACACAGCGATCAGACGAAGCTGTGATCATGTCACCGGTGAAACGCGCGTAATATGCGTGCCTGGTTGCAGATCGGAATCTTTTCACTTTCATGCGTGGTCGAAGATCAGCTGAAAGGAACAGCCGAACACTTTCGAGCGATTTACGACGTACCGACAGGCTTCAAGTGACAAGTTTCGCTGCCACTGAGGGGCCACCGGTACAAGTTCATTACCTTGGCCAAGAGAGGCAGGCTGCCTCTAATTGGCTGACCGGGTCAACGAGGCCTGCTGTCTGTGGGGGGAGGTGTTTGATACACAATTACCGGATTCGACCGCGAAGGTAAAATCGTGAAGCGCAGAGGAGCGTGTCCGAGCAGTATGGAAGCTCCTGTTGTCCGCAGAGCTGGACCGCGAGGAAGGGTTGGGTAGTTCGCGGGCCTGAGCCTGGAAGAGAACCAAAAGAACTAGGTCAGGTGGGGTAGCAAGGGAAGGAATGGTCTGGATAAAGAAATTCCAGGTGGGGTAGCACAGGTAGGATCAGCCTGGATCGAGTGTCGCAGTTTTGCGGGCTAATCGAAAGGTAAAACATTCAGAACGAAGGACTTTTGGCGGTGATTGTTTTGGGGGTGGGGGAAATGGGGGATATTTGAAGGATTTTTTTTGTGCAGGACTAGGAACAGCTTCATCTCAACAGACAGTCCCGTACGTGGGACTGGTTCACCGACCCCACAGCTCATTTCCCTCTTCAGATTTGGCCAAAACCCAACTCCTCTGTATTGCGGTTGATTTGGTTCTATCCAATGATGCCCCGATTGCCCAGCGTTCGTTCAGTAGCTGAACACCATAAGATCTAACGAGGGCAGGTCCAGCTCCAGCGAGCTCGCCATCAGGCTACGAGATTAGCATCGGACTGGATCTCTTCTGCTTGCATGTTGCGCAATGTTTCTGCGTGGAACTTCATAACGTAGCAGACGAGTATCGTCAAAAACTGGCAGACTTCAGAGATCGCGGAGATCCGATGGATTTCCACCTGTGAGTGACCTCCTGCGCAAGCACCCTTAGCAAGTTATTCAAACCTCCGACGGCATGCTATAAAAGCATAGCAGTCAAGAGGATGGCAAGCAGCTCGAATCACTCGAGCCAATTCAGCTATGACAGGAACCCTCGTCGGTATCGCCTCCGGTGCTAGCGGTGTTGCTATTCTGGCCGCTCTTGTAGCTTTCGGCTACCTTTTTAATGACATTAATAACTTCTACGACGATACCATGAAGGATATGGAGGAATTCAAGGTGAGCTTATCCTCAGCTGTTCCCTCCGGGCTCCCAAAGATTCCTTTATTTCAGTTCTTGACCAACGACGCCTGGTCGAAA